AGTACGTCTCGCAGGTCGCCACTTGGACCTCAGTCAGGCCAGCACGCCCTCAAGGGAGGTCGCTCCTTGCGTCGAGGTCACTTCGGCCAGTGACGAAGTGTTGTAGGTCGGCCCTGGACAAGGTGCTTCTAGCCGACTTGAGTTGTGGTTGAGGTTGCCAGGTTGGCGGTGAAGGCAGGCCGACAAGTCTGGGCAAAGAGAAACCACGATCTGGGACTCCAAGTCATTGCTTAGGTGGTATCTATGTGTCAACTAGCTGTTCCAAGATGCCATGTGCCATGATGTCATTTGAGGGCCAAATCCGCTCTCATCACATCTCAACTGAACTTAAGAGATCTTTGTCCCAATTATATGGAATTGGCTACATAAATATGTGTATGTGCTTGTTTGCTTGATTTTGTGTGTGAATGTGACTATATGTATTTAAGTTTAGTTCGTATTGGAAGTGTTGATAAGTGGTTCTTAATCTGTGAATCATGTCATGCATAATATGCTAAACTGAGGAAAAATTTCAGTTAACATAGTTTCAATTTCCATCTTCACTAAAGTTTTACTCTTTCATCACCCAAAAACAACAATCAGTCTTAAACCTTGCCAAGGTAAACTAAGCTCTTTCATAGTTATTGGTAATTTATTCTTTTATTGATAACATGCTGCAGAGTGCATAATCTGTTGAGTGACAATAAAAGCGAAATCATTACTGATGGTAAGCACACGAGCTCAAAGGTAGTGGATCCTTCAAGATGAAAATATGGACATTCGCCATAAAGGTATTACAACATTGTCATTATTGGTTTCATTTTATGTTGTTAACATGATGAATTTGGTTATACATAACTAGATTGAAAATTTCTTTTCTAGGGCTTGTTGTTGATGGAAAGAACATAAGTTCTAAGGCAACCATCAAGAAAGGCAAAGGGGGCCTTGGCAACCAGAAAGCTCTTGGAGAGGAATCATCCAAAGGAGTTCAATATAGCCAAGGAAGCATTTTTACATGACCACAGAAAATGCATAGAGAAGCAAGCAACAACGATGGACCATTATTTTTTGGACATATTTCTTTTAGATCATGATCATTACATGACTTTGACACATTAGTATTTATGGAGGATTGCTAGTAAATGAGTTTATGCAACTGTTGTTAGTAGGGTGAAGATCAGGAGCATGGTTCACAAGTTTCTAATTCAATGGGACACTCCTTGCTCCCCTTTGCAATTTGAGCGAGTCGAATTTAGACTAAAGCCAGATGATGATATTAGTGTTGGTTCTCCTACGTTTCTCTAAGAATTTCTGTGGCATGCCATAGTGGTCTCTTAATCATGAAGGGTTATGAGCTCAACTACCTCTTCAAATTTCAGCCCCAACAAAACAATTTGTTTTTCCTTGTCATGAACCGTGCATGACACTTAAGCGCATGCCATTTGAGTAGAAGCCAATATTACAATGCAAACTTGTGATTTTTTTGAACTTTCATTAGATCCATTTAAATACGTGAGTGAAAATGTGATTGGTCAATTTCTCTCATTTGTGGTTTGTCAATTTCTTGGAAATTATACAAACTACAATGACCTTTTGTATTTCATACCTGGATGGGACATAATGCATATATATATTTGACCTATCAGTTGCAAAGATCTGAAACTTTAAGAAAAATTAATAAGGTAATAACAACAGTTATGTTGCAGAGGGAACTATGTCTAGGCAACTTTATGTTAGTCTGAATCCATTTTACATGAATTGTTTTTCCCCTCTTTTGTATTTCATACATCCTTTTAGGCCGCATTTGGTTGTGGTGTAAATCTGAACTGGATACAAATTTTGCTCCTGGTTCAATTTTGCATCTGATACAAAACCTTGTTAATAATTGACACATAGGTTGTTTGAACTCACAATTCATCTAGATTCGCAAGACTCCAGAGTCCAGATTTGCTTGCATTTGAATTCACTTGAGCCTAACTGCAGACTGAACTCCCAGGTGGAAGTCACAAATCCCAGATTCGGTTGAGCCAAGCTTGTATAGGGTTTTTTCTACACTGAGAAGGTTAGAAATGTTTGATCCATGACTTGACAAGCATTTCGGTTTTGTATTGTATTTGAGTCTTAAAACATTGATTTATACAGAAAAATTGGGCAAAAGAATAATGATCCAAACATTACCAAATATGATATTTACCATTGTTAATTACTTAATTACTCAATTTTCATGTGTACAAGAACTGATATTTGAGGATACAGGCTTCGGTTCCACTAAATGGGCTTAAATTATTCCTAAGTTTTAGTAAATGGACTTATACACTCCTATTGTTTGCAAAATCCTTTAAAGTACCTTTAGATCCTTTACATTCTAACAATTGACTAATTCTATCAAAACTATCACAATTCCATTTGCGTGATTGCTATAACTTTTTAAAACCCAATTTTCTCCTTTTTAACCTTTCTAAGCTAGTAGAATCTGGTTCCAAGGATTTACATTCGTTGATATTCTTTTGGTAGGCTCCTCTTTTCCTCTTTCCCTATTGTTGTCTTTAAGTTGATCATGGCATTTGAACCACAACCAGTGGTACCTATTAGCTCGTAAAAACATGATCCACTATGGAAGTATTTCCAAATGTTCATAAATTGTGATCGTTACTGACTCTGAGTGGCAGATCCATAGGGATTGTAGCATAGAAATTGGGTCTTTTAGGGTTTGGGTTAAATCTTTATACTATTTTTCTAGGTTTTGTTTTGGACTGATTCATTACCTCATAAATCACACTAAACCATTGTTTTCAAAATTGGAACGAACCGGACGGTTGGACCAGAAAAACCGGGAATCGATCAGGTGACTGGTTCTGTTTTCCCCAAAAATTGGATTTCCCCCAAAACTGTTAATTTTGGTCAACGAACTGTTGAACCGGGCAGTTAATTGTTTGAACTATTCAAACGGTTTTGACCATTTTTTATTTTTTTTGAATTTTTTTAATTTTCTTGTCAGAACGGGCTGAGCATTTGGTTCGAATGGTTGGATCGTTCGACTCGGTAAACGGACCCCTGACTGGTTCGGTTTTAAAAACCGTGCACTAAACTTGAGCCAAATCCATGTATTGTTTTGCCAAGGCTCCACTGTTTCTAATTACTTATAATTAGCTTACATTGTTGACTCCCATCTTTGTTGAACGGCTCTCCAGCAAGTTTGGAGTTTGATATGCAAATAACTCGTGGTGATATCTGGTCCAACAATGCTAACTCAAGTTTTTCTTTTTACGCAAATAAATAGAGGTGTCAATGGATCGGTTTTGGGTTGGACCCATCCAAATGAAAATCAATTTGGATAGATTGGTTAGACCAATAAGATATTGAATTGGACCAGTCCTGACTTAATGGTCCAAAGTATTTATTGGATTGGATTGGACTTGGTCCATTCATAATAGATTTCTTTTGGGTTGGGTCGGATTATATTAATATCCGATCTATTGATAAAAGATAAGAATACGGGTGTTAATGGACCGGGTTTGAGTTGGAATTCATCTAAATTAAAACCAATTTGAACAGATTGGACAATCCAGACATCGAATGGGACTGATCTAAAGTGGTCCGGAATATTCATCGGGTTGGATTAGACTTGACCCATCTGTAATGAATTCATATTAGACCAAATCGGATTGAACCAAATCTGGTCCAATTGACACCCGTACAAATAATGCCGGTAGTGCCTTGATCAATCTACAAATAAAAAGGTTTACCTTTTACCTTTGTACTCGGCCAACATCTGCTGCAAACCTGCAACTAGTCCATCAATTTATATTTATATAATGAAATTCCCTGGCCTAAACTTATTAATGCATTTGAAATAAAGATGGAAAGTTGTATATTGAGAACAATACATGCTTGAGATCAATTGAACCAAATTGAATTAGGTAATGAGAATATATTACAGCTTTAGAGCAACCGCAAGAGCGGTTGAGAGGGACGGAGCCATAAACGTGAGGGATGAGTTTGTCTTTGAGTTCGAAATTCTCCATTTTCAGGGAGACGTAGAGTTTTCCACAAGCATGGTCCATGCTATCATCTCTGTTACCGCCATGAGAGCTGTCTGCTGGGTTCTTAGGGCGTCTTTGAGAATGTCCAAACTGCTTAAAGCCACCCAGGTATGCTATTTAAAATTTTGAAGAACAATGAATTGCAAATTCAACATTTCAATCTTTTAGTCAATTGTTTAGTCATGATCTCAATCGTCAAAAGGTCTAGAAATTTTGCAAACGATAGGAGTGAGATAGAGGCTTTGCAGAGATTTCGGTTGCTGAGCTTTGTTATCAGTAGAGATAGAGGCTGAAATGAGGACAAATTTTACATTCATGTAAGGTAAACTATCTCAAATTGATTGACAAAGGGTGGGAGACGTTTGCTTGGTTTCTCCTCCTGATAATAAACCAAAATGATTTCTCCTCTATCCTTCAATGAATAAAGCAATATGGGACTATGGGTTAGGAGGCTGAAATGTCTCTCCAATCTCCATAAAAACTTTACAATCAATCAACCGGGATCGTAAAGGTGGTAACCAATCATTTTTCATGAAGGATTATGATTGGTCAAAAGCCTTTTGAGGTACCATATCTTTCCAGCTTAATACATTTTCCCAAATTTAACCTTAAACATTTAATTAGGCTGTGTTTAGTTTTAAAGAAAAGGAAGATAAAAGGTAGGTAACCTATACAAACCATTATATATAGGTTTCCCTACCTTTTCTTTCAAACCAAACACAAAAAAAAAAGCCCAATAGCCCAAGAGCCCAAGAGCCTTTCGTCCTTTCTCAATTTGCCTTTATCGGTTGCACCGTTAGAAATGTAAACGACGACAATAACGGTAATACGGGTGAATAACTTGGTCCGAGTTTCTCTTCCAGATCGAATCAATTTCTGACCGTTCATAACCATCCATCAACTAACATCTCTAGTATTGACGGTCTAAAACTGAAGTACACTTTATCCATAATACATCCAAGATGTACATATTTTACTGGCTCGGATTCATCGAGAGAGAGAGAGAGGGGAGTGCTGACGAGAAGTTCCCTAAAACAACAGATTACCGTCTACAGACATCGCAGCGTAGTGTATGGTCGGAAACAGATGGCTGTTAGGATTGGAATCGGAAGCGTGACCCACCAAACAGCCATGGCTTCTCCTTCTCCCTCTCCTTCCACCTTCTCTAAGACTCTTCCTAGCCCCAACCGTGTAATCCTGGTAACTGGAAGACGCTTTGCTCGGGTTGGCTCGGTCCGAACTCATAGAGCTTCCACTTATCTCCCAGTAAGAGCTTCAGTGTCCACAGAAGGCCTCCCCACCTCTTCGGGTAAACCATACGTTTCTCTCTGTCTCTCTGTCTCTGTCTCTCTCTCTCTCTCTCTTTCTCACACACACACTCCCTCTCACCTACACAATCACACATATGAAATTATGAACACATACCGTTTGAAACAATGCTCCTTTTAAATTGAACTGAAACTAGTTTACTGTTTACATGTTCTTTAGCATATTTGCTATAATGTGCATAGAAAAGGAAACCACTTGATAATAATTTCCATTCATAGCTGTTCTATCAAAAGTAGATTTTTATATGTATTTTTTCCTCTTTTAAGCCATTGAAGTTGGCTTTATATGGACTGTTATCAGTTGGTGCTTCTGTGTTCATGGTTTCTCTCTTTAATGGGGTATAATCTTATTGTTGATTCTTTTGTGCGATGGCTGGGTTTGTTTCAGCTGCAAGTAAGGGTGTTGAGAATGTTGCAATCATAGGCTCAGGTCCTGCCGGATATACAGCAGCAATCTATGCGGCTCGTGCGAATTTGAAGCCAGTGGTATTTGAAGGTTACCAAGTAGGTGGTGTCCCAGGAGGCCAGTTAATGACCACCACTGAAGTGGAGAACTTTCCTGGGTTTCCTGATGGAATAACTGGTCCGGATTTGATGGATAAGTGAGATATTTAGCTTGACACACCATTCATTTCTGTGGTGTTTTGCCATACATTGTGTACAGAGTTCTATTCACATTTGACATTTGAAATGGTTGAGAATTATAATTGTGTTGTTTCTCATTTTTATGGAATAGAATGCGGCGGCAAGCAGAACGCTGGGGAGCAGAGCTTTTCCAAGAAGATGTGGAATATATTGATGTGAAGAACAGTCCCTTTACCATAAGGAGTAGTGAGCGTGAGGTAATTATTTTAAAAAGTAATGAGGTCATATTATGAAGGTCACTTCCCACCATGGTTTTTGCATTGGCTAAATTTCATCTCTGTTTCTTTGGTTTTTAGGAACTCCAAACTTTATAAGTTGGCATTCAACTATATTGTGTACAATATTTTGGTATTGAACAATATTTTGAGATATTATTCATCAAGAGAAAATTAAATCTTTTAGAATTTACTAGCATCTTTTTCTATTTTGGCAAACACTGAGATTGATGATGACATGAAAGTTACAATCGTGTGCTTGCTTCCAGTTTAGAAAGATTTTTGACATAGCCCATCTTTAGCCATTTGTTAGTTTTTTTCTATTGGAAATTTTAAGATTATGACAATGCAAAGCCTTGCAATGTCTATAGAAAAGTTATATAATATCACTGAAGTTGATATCATGGACATAAGCTATAGTTCAAGAAATATGGGTTTGTAGAGATTGCGACTGGTAGGCTATGCCTGTAGTGAGTACAGAAGGGGGGGGGGATCTTGTGCTTATGCATACAAAATTAATGTAGGAGCTGAAATTGAAGAGAGAGTGTGGAGAAAGAAAATTTCAAATTTTAAGAAGAATATGAGAATTGGGGCCTGACGATCATTGTTGTGGCCTAGCAATCTAGTTGCTCCTGAAGGGAAGTCCATCAGGAGTAGACCTCTTCATGGGAAGCCTATTGGGCTCAACATTACACTGTTTTGGGGTTGGGCTTCAGGTCAGGCCCGTTCCAATTTTGGCAAAACTTGAACCTTGGTACAACTTTTTATGTGCCTTTTTGTAAGGGAAGTGGTTCTTTCTCCATGTTTCTCTATTAGTACATTGGCCACTTTTGCTCAATTTTTTTTGAAACTTTTTGGATATATAACAAAGAGGGAATGTGTTTATTTTTCAAAGACCTAAAAAGGAAAATGAAAGCGATAAAAGGAAGTTTCAATACAATGCTTGAATTTCTTTGGTTCGAAGAGAATTAGGAAAATGTAAATATGGACATTATACATAATTACCCATATATTCCATAGGGATGCACAATCCCTCCCTGAAGGAGAAACTGTTTTTACTTCAAATTTTATTGAAAATTGACGATCAATTTGATACAAAGAAAATTTCTACTTCTGTTAAGCAAATATTTTTTTTTTTTATCAATAACAGAAATTTTATAAAAAGAGATATAGGAATTACAACCAGGAGGGAGGGGTAAGAAGACTTAACCCTCCCTAACAAACTGAAAAAACATATTACAATATAGCCCAAAAAAGATTGTTCTTCCCACCTCCTGTTTGGCCAAGGTATCAGCCATAGAGTTAGTGCACCTCTTGGCCCATTGAACCCTTACAGACATATTCTGAGTTAACTGAGTAATTTTCTTTCTTTCATTAGAGAACTTCCACAAGCTGGACACTTCCTTCTGCAACMATTTAATAGTCAACTGAGAATCTCCTTCCACCAACAACTTACTAATATTCAGTTGTTTAGCTCTTTTAAATCCTTCTAGAGCTGCCAAGATTTCAGCTCTCAAT